CCCCAAAACCCCAAAACCCCAAAACCCCTTGCTGTAAGTATTCGTGCAACAAATTATATTTTTGAATATAAATTTAGATAAAAATATCAACATTATAATTTCATTATTAAATGTAAAGGAGCAACTAAATTTAAAAGCAACAAAACTTGTCTTTGCAAAATTGTAGGAATGGAAGTGCATGCAAATTCTTTAAAACTAACTCTTGCAAATATCAGCATGCTAGATCTGATTAATAGAATGTACCTGGCATGAGAACTTAACAATACAGATTCGATTAATAGTCTTCAAAGGCTCAAAGTCACTTCTAGCACTCTACTTTTAATGGCAAAAGTCCTGCATTCTAAGGCTAATAAAATCAGTTTCAATAAAGACCCCAAACAGGAAATTAGAGATCATAAAATCAATCATAATAGAGCAACATGAGCGGAATGTCTCGGTAGTAAATGAGTAACAATTAACCGTAGATAACTGTCGACATTACTGACTCTGATGTATTATAGGCAATATAAATAAAAACGATTTTTTACTGCGAATCAGAGTTCGGAGTCTAAATAAGTGTCAAACAACTTTAGAATAATTCATTCTAGTAGCAAGAACAATAATTTGGCACCATGTCCATCACTAATAATTCAGGAGGCTTCTAATGGTATTATAAAGTTTATAAGCATGATGCAAATTATGCTAGTAGGCAAGATTAAATAAATGATTGGTTTGAACTTGACAATGATCAAAATGTTTAGGTTGAATCTCACTACTAAGATTGCTGTAATAAGAATTCCTTTGGCTCTGAATATTACATTGTTGGGGATCAAAATAGAATTAAAAATGGATTCGGATATGCTGTATTTGGTAATAGTCAAGATCCATCTACATGGTATGAAAAAAATATGTAAATAGGTACCTAAAGATAACTTTAAAGAAGAGTGACCCCTTAAACATAAACTGTTTCATAAGTAATGACCCCATATTAGAGCAACCAAAATTAATCTTAAACTTAAATTTACTAAGTTACAGGTACTTAATCCTAGATTCAGTACTTCAACACCTAACTTAAATAATTTTACAAGAACTAAAATGTATTTGGAAATTCTTGAAAATTAATGGAAAAATAGTGATAAAGCATCAAATGCTTTCCATATTTTAATATGATTAGATTTATAACTTATATTTACATAATTATATAATGATTCTTTAAATTTTGAATTTAACTTTCATGGGGTTTTGGGGTTTTGGGGTTTTGGGGTTTTGGGG